GGGGGGTGTAATTTGAGGGGATGGGTGTTGTGTTGTTTTTGGTTTATTTTCAAAAATAGTTCTAGATCTATATTATATTCTTTAATTTCAGTTCGTAGATTGAGTTATGCATAATTGTTAGCTGTTATTTGATATTTACTTTTTCAGTTGTCTATCGCGGTGGGCGGCTTGGAGAAGAGAAAAAAGGGTGTCTGTGAGGGGGGGGGGGGGGGGGTTATTAATTTTGTACAAAATTTACTCGTTAGTTTTGGTTACCAGATTCTATCTGCTTTCTGTTTTGTTATTCTTGTGCTTCTTCTTTGGATGTAGAGTGTGTGTGTGTGTGTGTGTGTGTGTGTGTGGGGGGGGGGGGGGGGTAAGTTAGTTTGTGTTAGTATCAGTTTGGGCATAGTGGGCTCAGGCTGGTGTCTCCTCTCTCCTTGTTTACAGCCATATCTTACTTTGCTGTATTTTGAATGCATCAAATAATGGGTCGTCACTTTTCAATTTATCGCGGAACGAATAATGAATTGTGTAAGTGTTTCGGTTTGGAAGGCAGAAAAATGACCAGATTATTGTCACCCTTTGGCCTAGAATAACAAAGTTCACGGCACACTGAATGTAGAAAGATCTAGTTCTAGTTTGCAATTCAAAGTGGCAAGATGACGGCTAGACGGCTTGCCTATGAGTAGCTAGCCGTACTTAAGTACAGCTAGCCTAGCCGTCTAGCCTTATGCCTACTTAAGTACGGCTAGCCTGCCAGTCTAGCCGTACTAAGGTTAGGCCCTGTTGACTGAAACCTGTTTTGGCCCTGGTCATATCATAGGTCGCATCTGTTGGCCCCGGTCGTATCAAAGGTCCCGTTTGGAGTGTGGACTTGTAGGCGTAAAGCCAAGTTTGAAGTTTCATTTCTTCGACCTTGACTTGGCATGATTCAACAATGGCTATTGCTGTCGGCAAAACGTTTTCATCATTTGAACTGTTGCAAAACGCAATGGAAAAATTGGCTGCTGAGACTGACACAGTTTTTATACGTCAAGATTTTGTCAAGGTAAGGACATGTTTTAAAAAAAAATCAGTCTAGATCTAGATTAATTAACTAGATCTAGTTAATTAGTGTACTTTAACTTTCCACAAATTTTACAGACTTGGTTGAATCAGTATTAACACATTATATTCTTTGAGTACCAGTCATTTAGTCACAAGGTCATTTCGTCTCACCGATGCAGTCAAGGCGTCACAGTCATCTCATCACACCTCAAATAAACTAGGTTGAATGGAGATGATCATTTTGTCACAAAATTGTTGCAAACATCAAAGGCGAATTGTCATGGAAATCGCAAATCATGATTTTTGGGGTAGGTGGTGTGTGGAAGGACGGGGGGAGATGCGAGTCGTAGT